AAAAAAAACACTTTATTACATAACTTCCCTGCTGTTATGTTTGGTAGCACACAAAGAGACAGCTATTCGCAGGCGGTTCGTTACTTGTGTGCAAAATTGTGTTGTTGAACTTCTTCCAAATCGCACAGTGTGCTGCAAATCAGCTCGCCCTAACCACACGCTGTGGGATGTGTGAAATGTGAAGCTTGACACTGAGCTGCCACACCCGAAACCAGTCCTGCCACTATGGAGCCACCTCCCAATCCACAGCTCTTAGGAAACTCACTTTTCACATTACACACTCCCCTTGTGAACTTAGTGACACATGAAATTTACAGCACATTGGTTCATCACCTTCACTAAGAACGTCAGTGACAAATACAACAAACTGAGTCATTAGGATGACTAGAGAGAGGAGTGGAGAGACACCTCTGTTAAAGGACTGCTTCAAAATTGATCAATATGCCTCTGAGCTCATCAATTCCTTTCATCAGCACTTAAATTTTTTTTTTTCTAAAAGTTGTGTGACATCACACTCATGCCAGTTTTCTTCATGCTAGCGTTGCTTTCTTTGCTTTCTGTTTTCTCTTTGACACAGAAAAAAACGATGGGCCGAAACTGAAGACCTGTATACAGTACACACTAAACTACACTGAATTCTTAGAAAGACCAATCACTGTTCTGTTTTTCTAGGATTCTAGAATTCCTCTTACCCAACATCACTGGTTGTTGAGGTTGATGATGTTGATGACTAATAAAACCTGACCAATCAAATGTAAATATGGGCATTTTTCCAGACACTGACCTGCACCACATCATACAGTTATCACAAACTTCAGTACAGTACAGGAAAATCAGTGCTACCAATGAAAACACTGATCCTATGAATGTGAAAAGCTTCTCACCCGCTCAGGTTGCCCATGCTGGCTCCCAACTCCATCTGCCCGTCGTAGATGTCCATGCCCCTGCCCACACTCTGCATGCTCTTCACCGACATGGCACGGGACATGGTGCCTTGACGCTGCATCCTTAGGTTCCCCTGGGAGCCAGACATTGTGGACATCATGAACCCTCCGTCCACAGTGTCTCCACCTCCCCCGTAGATGTTCCCACCTGCCGTCTGCTGCATGGTTCCAGACATGGAGCCCACGCTCATCCGGTTACGGTTTGTAATCCTGCTGATGGTGCGGTGGGCCGGGCCTTTGAAGGACTGCTGTTGGACAATCTCTGTCCCACCTGGTGGCACCCCTCCGCCACGGGTAAGAGTGCCGCTTAGAGATCGGCGCATGGTTGACTGAAAGCCCGAGCTGCCTCCTCCTTGCATCATCTGGCTGGTGTAGCCATTGACTGCGCTCTGAGCATACGAGCGACCATAGGTGCCGTCACGTTCAGAGACTAAACTGCCAGCATCGCTGTTGTCGACAGCCCAGCCCCTCATTTGCATTGGTATTGGCTGCATTGAATGCGTAGAGATTTCTGGGTCCATTCGTTTCATGGTCCCCACGCGCATTTCTTCTTGATAAAAACCCCCACCACCCCCACCAACAGCATAACCTGGACCTCCACTCCTCATACTCATCCTCTGAAACCCAGCCATGTCTGGGGCGGCAGAACGGCTGCTGAAGCCTGACCTTTGAGACAGTTGCGGACCCTGAGGGTGGAGAGAGGAGTTACTGTTACAAACAGATGTGTAAGGAGAGTTACTCAATATATTTCACTGAACTGTAAGTTTGGATGAATCAAAAATATTTCTAAATCTATTCAGGGGACTGTTATAGAAACAAAGGCGAGGACACTGACGTGCATTAATCAGCCAGCGTCTTTCGAATTTAATCACTAAGATTGAGGAATCTAGTGAGTGGACAAGAAAACTCAGAGCTGATCTAATCACAGCCTACTGTGAAATACCACACATGCTGTGTCCTACGTGACATGTCAGCAAAGCCATCAGCTTTTTTTAAGATGGGAGCTTCCAGCTAATATAACGTCTGGTGTTAGATTAAAGACTCAGTTTAATCATTTGTGTGTGTGAATATTGGGCTGAAAAAGTGAGAAACACTCCACTCACGATTGTTCTGGAGCCAGAGTACATGAAGGATGATTTAGAGCTGAAACTTGGGTTATGGGTGTTATATTTCACTGACGATGAACCACCGTAATCTGAAAAGAAGCAAAAAAAAAAAGAAAAAAGAAAATGTAATCCACCATTTGTCAGTGAATAACACATAATTACAACACATTAAAATATATTTATACACATTACAACTGCTGTATATAATTATGGCGTTTTGGAGCACTCTTTATACAACACGTCTCATTCACACAACCACTTGTTTCTAAAAGCTTTTTCTATTCCACCAACGTCCTCTACCTCCTGAGCTACAGTCACAAAAATGTTTTATAGAACCTTTATATAATAATAAATAATAATCATTCTGTTTTATACAGAAACGTAAGAGATTTCTTGGTGACTAACGTCTCTGTTAAACTGCTGTTCCACTAAGGTAAGGAATCAGTAATTTGAGTGATTTATGACTTAACAGCTCATCTTTAGCCTAATCCTACTGCTACTAGTGTCAAAGAAAATCCCTTCTAAACAGGTCTGGACAAAAATGGAACAATGACAGCAGGAAGTGATTGGACTACAAAAATAGTTGAAAAAGTTCCCTTTTTTTCTTAAGAAACACTCTCCCATGTTTCAAAAAGGGAAGTTCATTTATACAGTACTTTTATTCTGAAAGTTGAATCAACTGCTGACTTGTATTCTTGCAACTTCTAAGAGGCCAAGTGTGATTATTGCAACCCCCCCCCCAAAAAAAAATGACAACAACAAAACAGCATTGCAGAGAAGTTCAAAGAAGATATTGCATCTCATAAAAAAGGCACTTTTAGGGTGGGATCAATCGCAGACGAAAATCCCACAATAAGGTGTGCCTCTTTAATTTACAACAATGTTTTACATGAAAGACATTTCTGTCTAAATAGCCGGTGTCGTGTTGCGCCGAAACCCATAGGTTTGATTTCAGCAGGACCTGACCAGTCAGCAGGGCCGATGTCTCCGGTTACCTGTCCTACATACAAAGACATTTGCAGGTTTCTGTCAGCAAACACAGAGTATGCGAATGGTTTTTTTGCTCTCCGTCCAGACTCAAACGGCAAGTGGTGACTCTGATAGCAGCCGTGGAGCAAGCTATTTACAGTGTAAGCAGGCTTGAGCAACAGTTTGTCGACCCACATATCTGAGCTGAGAGGGGAATATGTCAGTGACAAAACTATGTTAATTATAAAGTAGCATCTATGGGTGTAATTATGTTTATGTGATTTAGAATCCCTTCCTAAGAAATTAATTCTGCAGCCTGTCATTTACTGAAACACAAAATAGAGCCATGACTTATTGGAGAGTCATTAGTTTTGCAAGGATTTGGTCATAAATGTTGACCTTCTGGTGGCTGTAGGGAAAATTTTAATTTAAGGGATATTTATGTGTTTATTATGCTTGAGTGGTATCAAAATGGTGACCAACATGTATCATTTATGAACTAAAATTTCAAAACTGAGGTAGTGGCAGAGGGACATTTATTATTATTATGTAACAGTCTATGAACTATGAACAGGCTAGACTACTAACATGTCATAAAACAGTAACTACCTGCCAGTTTTCAAACTGTGATGTCTTCAACTCAACTTTTGATTGATCTAAAATGAGGTTCAAGCTAATGATTTGTATTAAACCCGCTCATTCTGATTCAGAGTAGTTTTAACGCCTCTCCCATAACACTATTTATTTCCGCCTGGCTGCACTTCATACAATGAGGTGGTAAACTTGCAGAGATCGTTCATGTAAGCAGAAGTACAAATACAAATAAAAAGTACAGACGGAAATGTTGTGCTATAAAGGCAAAGGGAGCTCTTTAGAAGCACAGGTGAAGGACACACCAATGGGACTGCCTTTAATGTGCTATTGTTAGCTCCATTTAGGTTCATTTTGGTTTGGTTTGATGTTTGAAGGCGTGTGGTGACATGAAACTATAACTCCCCTAAAATGTCTTAAACTGGAAAAAAAAAACAATCTCATTTAGCAAAATGTTAGGAGTAGAAAGTAGAGATGTTTGTGCAGTAAAAGTAAAATGTTGTCAGAGAAATACAGACTCAAGTCACGTACCTGAAAAGTCTACTTAAGTACAGTAAAGATGTATTTTCATTACTTCCCACATCAAAGACAAATGATGTGAAATGCAGGTGGGTGCGGCTGCACTGCTCACAGTCAGAGATGTCTCATCAGACATGTTTCACTGTCTCTGAAACATGTCTATATAAGGTATATCCGTTCTTTATGACATCATATTGATCCAAGAGCAAAAAAACTGTACAAAACCTGAGCTTCAGGCTTGTAGACATTATTTTTTCTCATGCTGACCAAAAAGCTTAATGCTGACAAACTGCACCTGAAAACACTAAGTAATAAGAACAGTTTTTTTTTTCACAAATGAGGAAACAAAATCAGGTTGTCAGGTCAGGTGTGTTTTTGTTGCCATGCATTGTATCTTAGTGTACTTTACATGCATGTTTCTGCTGAACCTGAGCGGTTTTACACCTACCATATATGTAAAGAAAGGTGGGCTGGACCGCCCTTTATGCTACTTTACTACATACCACAGGTATAAAAACCAGACACATTGTCGGGCCTGACCCTCGTTCTACCTTGACTACACCCAACACACCTGAGAGCAACAGCCGTTACAACACACCCCCTGAAAAGTCCTCCAGCGAGGAAACTTTTTTTCCCTTCCTCTGCTGCCACTCAAAAAAAATGTACTTTGATCATCAAGCCAGGACTCCTTGTAAATATTTCCTTTTTCACCCTCGCTTTCTGCTGAGACTTGACCACATACAGCATGAACACTGTTCACTCACTGTCATAAATGCATAGCTGCAGCAGTTTTTAGAATTGGGACGAAGTAGAAAAAACATTCCTTGCAGAATCATGTGCGTGTTTTGCCCATGTGCAAACACTTACGCATTCATAATGAACTTTTCTAAAACCGCAAACCACTGAAACAGCAGCATTCCCTGTTGTGTGGTAAGGAATGTGCCTCTTGTAAATGCTTTCAGAAGATGATTAATATGAAGTCACAGTTAATGACAATAAGTTTTCCTCCAAGCTAAACCCAGGGCAAAGAATGGCACACAGAAACGCAGGCAGTGACATATTTATCCGACACGTATGTTTCTGCAGCTGAACGTCATGTTCTCTCCGCTGAAGCAGACAAGTAAAGGCTCAGGTAAACAAAAACCCAAGCTGTCAAGCTCCTCTGCCGTCTCCTCGCAGTTTGGTCGCACACAGAAAATTATGGAGTGCAAAGGTATGCACGAGATGATATACTTTATGGTCACTTTGGGCTTTGGCCTCAAATGCCACTGGCATGTATCTTCATGCATCAGTCACGTGTGCAGTCATGAGGTTTAAGAGCAAACACAGGCCATGACAAGACTGTGAGCATGAGTAGCTCAGCTCTTTCACTGAAGTCTTATCATGAAATTTGATCTGAACTACTGATCATACTAATTCCCAGCGCTTCAGTATTGCCTTTCATTCCCCTTGTGGGAGTGTTGTCACTGCTTACATAACAGTCCCACCTTGACTTTGCGTGTCAACATGCCTCCAACGGACCAGTTATGATAATGTAACAACTGTGAACGGGCTGCACGAGCCCCTCTGGTATCTCTTGAACCCACCTACCTTTAAGCCAAGCACTACCTGAAACCTAATCCCACGGGTGGGGAGAGGGGGGGAGAGGTTTTCACCTTAGTCTGCTACCAGCGAAGTTCATGAAAGGAGCACTTGTTTGGGCTTGTTACACATTAACCGTTTCTCCTCTGCAGAGACATGACATTGAGTAAAATGGCTGCGGCTGGAGCTCATCTCAGAACAAAACACAAATTCCTCGAAGAGCTGACGAGAAAAATGAGTCCACAGGAATTCAGACAAGCATCCAGAACACCCCCCACCCCACAGGCCCCTGGCCATATCAGTTGAGTGTCACTCTTGCATTTGAAACTATTGGCTCGGAGTCAGACTCGGAGGTCTGAAAAGAGTTTAGGAAAAAAACGAATCAAAAGAAAAATAGATTAATTTTATCATTAGGTTTCTTTTTATAAGTCAAATAAACAAGTGGTGAAGCAACAGGGAAGTAGTTTCTCTTTCAAGCTATATTGATGGCATTAATCATCTGGGTAATTTTCACAGTAAAAAGTGTAAAAGAAAATGAATGCAGCCTCTTAAATGTCAGCATTTTAAATTTCCTATGGGTGTTGGACTCTTTAGATGAATCCTTTTATAGCTCAGCGTGAGCTCTATGAATATGTCTTGTTTCAAAACTCAAACCAAACCTTTCCTGGCTGGAGTTTGATATGTCTGGACATATAAAGATCATGCTTTTATTACCTGGCATGTTTACTACCTGAGTCAGTGTGACAGATCATAATGTCGTCAAATAAGACCAAAGGAAACATGGTCACAGGACTGAGTGGTCTGATTAACAACTCATCTGTATCACTCAGGACTGCTGAGCACCTGTGCCCGCAGCGCCAGGCTGGAAACTTGGATTGTCACACTTAATTCCGCCACTTATCCGCACTGAACACAGACCACCTCGCACAGCAGCTCTCAATCGGAAATGCAGAGCAGTGAGAGAGTGTAGGTGTAACTCCATGTGAAAGTGACTTAAAAACTCGTTGATGTTTACCTGACATGGCGTAGTGTGAGGTGGATCCATTCTGACGCGGAAGTGTGGACTTTTCCGCCAGTCTCATCTGGATCTGCTGCTGGACGCGTCGCGCTTTCGCAGAGTCGTCAGACACGGAGCCCCCATTCCCGACTTTGATCTCGGACGGGAGGGCGTAAGTTGAGACTGAAGTGTTGGGCTGTAAAGCAGTCAAAAACACGTGCTCTGAGCCGACTGTACTCATGGCGAAAAGTTAAAAGAAAGCAAAAATAGGTCACACACTGCCGCGGACAGGGTGCCTGCGCTCTGCGTCGTGGCAGCTCAAACTGTTTGTGGTCAGACGCACCGAAAGAGCCGAGCTCCGCAGCCGGAGGTGGAGCCTCATAGACGAGTCACACTTACTACCTGATTCACAGGTGAGCTGCTCCCCCTTTAGATAAGAGTCCGATAAGATGGAGAAGAATCCAAATTCTCGCTGACTCAGGCAGCCATTTGAAGGTTTTTCAAAACAGTCATGCGAAGTTGATTGCATTTTTCCCCTACTTCACTGGAAAATACCAGAAACCGGGACAAATATGAAAACAACTCTTTAAAACGGTTGTGGAAACGTCAGCTTCCGTTTTTGTTTCGTTGTTAAGTTGTTGTTGTTTTTTTGGTTTTGTTTTTAAATTGACTCAATTTTTTGTAGTAACGATTTTTTAAATAGAGTAAATAACTTAAGAAGATTTATTCAAATACTATAAAGCTGAATATTGTATTCGAGTATTTCTATTTTAAGTGGTAAGATGACTTCCAAATTGACACTTTTTAGCGTCAAGAGTTCACACACAAAATATAGCGAGCGATGCATGTAACAGTAATCGAGCAGAATTTTTAAGCCAACTTTCATTTTTCAAATTTTGGTAGAAAAATGTGAAATAGCTGCAGTGATGTACTGAAACATCTGCAAAATGAAATGCAAATACAGTATTTAAAGGCAAAAACAGTCTGTGGAGTTCTGGCGAGCTTGAAAGTCCAGATTTGGTGTGACCACCTTTATTCTTTTTAACACAGTCTGAACTCTCTTAGGCAAGCTTTCTTATAATTTCTAAAGTAGTCTTTAGAAATAGTTCTCAAGGCTTCTTGAAGGACATTTAAAGCTCTTCTTCGGATGTTTCCTGCTTTTCTTCTGTTCTCTGTGAAGATGATGCCACACAGCTTCAGTAGTGTTGAGGTCCAGGCTCTGGACTCCATGACTGACAGTGTTCTACTGTGTGTTTTTCTATCCAGGTTTATTTTTTACTGTACTGGCAGTATGTTTGCAAATAAGACACTCGCCAGATGGTAAAGCATGGTGGATCCAAGTCTATCTGTGTTCATAATTCTATCAATTTTGACAAGACCACCCAAGACCTTTGGCTAAGTTGCAGCCCCAAACCATAACAGAGCCTCCACTGTTTACAGATGACTGTAGACACTCACTGCTGTGCCTGTCTCCTGACTGGTTTCATACAAATAGGTGATTATTTAACCCCCCCACCCCCCCAAAAAAAGCTCCCGTTACCACTTATTTTCTGTCCAGTTCTTTTATACAGTAATTTGACACCCTTCCTTTAAAATGACTTCTTTACAGCCATCCTTCCACTGACACCATTTTTGATGAGACTGGTGAACAGTAGATGGCTCAGCTGAGGGGTCAGTTCTCTTGCATTTCTACCTTCGTTAGATCTTTGCTGGATATTTTCTTGTTTCTTAAGAACATATTGTATCTGCATTATGTTTTAGGCCTTCCATTTTTTCTTTTGTCCTCCACTGGTCGAGTTTCTTCCAAGCCATGAAGTTTTTGGCTAATGGGTCATCTTGCTAGTGTAAAAATAGAATTTTATGCCTGATAACTGTGTTATCTTTGGCATTTTCCTTCATCCAGCTAAAGAAACTGGGACAAATTAGCTGGTTTGTAAGGATGCTTGTAGCAAAGGGTCTGACAATACAATTTAAATTAGGTTCTTTGCTGAGTTGTCTGTTATGTGTTCATCCCTTGAGTTAGGTGCATTTTTTTTTAGATGTTTCATAGGTCAGTGTTAAGTGGCTCAGCAAATTATAAATCATGGTCAGGTACTGGGACTGACTGAAAATTGTTGAAAATGTTTAAAAAAAATTTTTTTTAATCAAATCAAATTTAATCAAATAAAAATAGATTACGTGGATTCTGCTGCCAAAAGCTTTACATAGAGGGAGATGTGATATATTAAGAGCATTGTTTTATGTCAGTGAGGGCAACCAAATTGCAACAACCTAAATGTGGGACAAAAATTGTTTGTGTTGGAAATGTTACTAATAGCTTGAGGCATTTGGCATGTAGCTCCACTGTTCTCAACTACCTCACTAAATAAATACCGTGAGCATAAAAGTTCTTTTTTCCCCTGCCGTGATAGTCTCCTGTCATGTATTCTTTTTTGTTATCCCAATAACTTTTTAAAATTTTGTTATTTCAACTACCTTATACCTATATTTTGTCTAGCGTTTGTCTTTCAGTGTGAGGCATGCATCATTTTGCTACAGGTTTGTGAGGCTCACACTGTAGTTGTGATAACCATCCACAAAAATCCAATCTGAGACTTTGTGGTGACTCACAATGTTCCACCTTAAGCATATAGCGAAGGCAGAAAAACACGGTGATCTGTTAACGAGACTCGTGATGAGAGTCCCTGGATTTCAGAAAAATATCTGCTGACTTTTGAAAACTAGTTCCAGTATAAATATAAGCCTCAGTGTAAGACTAGGTTTAGGTCAGGGGTACTTAACACACAATAAAATACATGGATCAGATAAATATGTATAAATAACAGTGACATTTTTCAACTTTTTTTAAACAAATATTCCTTCAAAATGAATTATTTATAAATGAACTAACATGTTAGTTACATTAGCCGTATACAAGAACTGACACTCACTGATGTTCATTTGACAGACAAATAATTTATTATTTTGCATTCGAAAGCCGACACTTGTAATGACCCAGCTTTGTCCGGGCCTGTTGAGTGTGTGTGTGTGTGTTCCCTTTGTGTTCCTTTAGCTGCCTGGTAGGTGGAGCTAACCAGTGCAATCTGAATCCCGGCCAGCCCCTTCTGCCATATTTATGCACCGACTTTCTCAGTCTGTGCTCTCTGTACTTTTCTGATTGGCTTGTAAGTTTAGATTTTTAAAACCATGCATCACTTTCCCGTCATCAGCTAAGCACACGAAACTGCAGACACGCTATAAACACCGACCGATTTTTTGTTACATTTGAAAGCGTTCACACATTAAACCTCTTCAGTCAGTTCTATTTTGTGAATTAGAACATGATTGGTGGGTCAGCCAGCACCAGACGTCCCTGTGGGAGTATTGCTGATCTGGAATACTTCAGTATAATGACCCTTGAGGAATACTGCTATTTAAAATTTAAACCATTAAAATAAAGTTATTCTTAAACATGATGTCAGAAGATAATGTGACAGTGTGTATGTCAGATGGTGGGACAGAAAAATGTCCGTGCAGCAAACACGTCTTTCACCTGTTTCTTTTTCTTGTGTTTTTGTCAATTATTATGCAGATTTGTCAACATATCCTTATATATTCTAAATAATCCTATTTGTATGCTTGTAATAATTATAGTATTACTTCGTTGTACTTTTTTAAATACACTGGGTAGATTTACGTAGAGCTTTGTTCTCTGTGATTTCACAAATTGGCACGATATTAAGCTGAGTCTCGCAAATGACGTCATGTATGAATGCAGGACTGTTACAAGGTGTGGCACAGTCACACTCTGTTATTAAGCTGAGCCACACCCCAGTTTTATCTAGTTTGCTTTATTCCAGCTCTTAGCAACTATGAGTCACTGTATCCAAAACAAAAGTGATATAGAGCATGATAGTAAGACGCGTTATCTGCATGTCGGCACCATTTACCTAGCTAAATGTGATAAGATTAGGGGAAAAGAAAAACACAGGATAACCACAGTAATGGTTTCTATCTGACTGGATCAAACTGTACAAAGACATTACAACTCTTATTGCTTTGTCTGCTTCCTCCTATTGTGTGAATGCATTTGGACATATAAGAAAAAGAGGAATATTACACTTCATCTATTTTTCACTGATTTTCCCGTGATTATGCGATTTCATCTTGCTAATAACGTTAAAGGTTTCATTTATCCAAAAGCAAATCAATCTCAGTGCGTTTACACTGAAACACATGCAGCAGGTGATCTATGGAAACATGACCTCCTTCCTCAGATTAGTAACTGAAAAATCACCTTTTACATATTTCCTCACACACTCTGCAAACCCATTCTCTCTGACTTCCCCTCTATTGTCAAAGCACATTCATAAGCAGAAACGGTTGGCCGCTTCACATGTAGGAGATAAATGAAGCTCCGAGTGATGCTGCAAATCTTTCAGTTCCACAGTTAATGAAATTCAAAAGAATATTACTTCATGGTCCAAACAGCAGGAAACATAATGCACTGAGTATAAAAGTCTGTTCATAAGTTCTGACTTACCATTACCACTGAAGTGGAGTAGAGTGTGGAGGTTCTCTCTCTGCAAACGTTTACCTGTTCTGACCTGATCTGGGGGCAATTAGAAAGTATAAGTTATATCTACTGTCACCGCCCAGAAAATTCTAATTCCACTAAATGCAGAGGTACAGAAAACAAAGAGGTGAGTCAAATGGGAGTAAGACATTGTGGGGCGTGAAAAAAATAGACAGTTGTCAGTGATTCCGAGGAAGAGCAGCAAATGAAAACGAAATACTTTTTTTTTAACTGAACTTTTGCCTCTGCTTCTGAGGCTCCCTGAGAACACAGAGCAGGTTTTGTAATGTGAATTGCTTTTAAATATCTCTGTTTATGTTGCTTTACAGCTCGATGTTAGTGCAATTTTTAAGAATTTATTTTAGGATGTCGCAACAATTCATTGATGAGTCAGTCAGTAATTAAAGCATTGGAGCAACTGCTACACTGAATTTTCAGCACAGACCAGAGGTGCTGAGTGACAGAAGTCTACATAGAGGGTACTGACTCAGGGCAGTGCATGTCTGCGTGTGTGCGTCAGAAAAGCTGATGGTAAGATCAAGACACCCTTGCTCTGCATGCTGCCTCATGCATCATTAGAAACCATCTGTTTGTTCATGGTAATCTCTGAAACCTATGACTAGAGGAATGAAGACACCCAGACATTAGGAAAGCATATTAAAAAAAAAAAAAATAGAAACCAGACATTCAGACATGAAGATGAACATATCAGTTGTCATGGCTGCATCATTTCTGCTGTGGTCGTCTCTTTTATTGGTATTTTGTCAGGTCAGAGCAAACTACAGGTCAAATTTTATTTCATTTGTGAATTTTATTTGTAAAGATTGTAAACACAAGAAAAGTCAGTTTATTGATTGACCATGAAAATCATCTATTCTAATCTATTATTTCTTCATTATAAAGTTTTGACCTCAAGTGTTTGGACAGCTCTGCTACTGCAGTTCAATTCTGCCAGGGTCTGTGCATATTTAATGTGAAATGAATAAACTGACACTAGACTGATGTCTCAATTTTAATTTGAGTCGGTTTACATCACTATTCCGATTACAAGGCGAACTTCCAACTCTTGAGCCACGATCAATATTCGCTGCAATATTCTCAACTGGTTCGGTTAAGCACCTGATTTCAGTTTCATCTGCAGCTGACCTGAAGGATCAAACCTGAAGGATCAAACTAAAGAGAGAAAGAAAATAATCTATTATAATCCAGAAACAAACAAAAGTAACAAGTCTGATTTTTACAGGAAACAAAGAAATAATTATAGTGTGGTCACTTCCCGGATCGATTACTGCAACCCTCTTCTTTTTGGTCTTAGTCAAAAAACTATCCATAAGCTTCAACGTGTCCAGAACTCTGCCGCTCGTATTATCACCAGAACCCCCTCTATGCACCACATCACCCCTGCCCTGCAGCAGCTTCACTGGTTAAATACCGCATCAATTTCAAGATACTTTTGTACACCTTCAAGGCTATCCATCATCTCTCGCCTTCATACCTCTCTGACATGGTTCAAGTCACCATTCCTTCTCGGTGTCTCAGATCCTCCTCCTCTCTTTCTCTTCCCGTCCCTGTCCCCTGGCTAGCCACCATGAGGCGCAGGGCTTTCTGTTGCTCTGCCCCTCGTCTTTGGAACTCCCTTCCTCCTGAGATAAGAAACATCACTTCCCTCCCTCTTTTTAAGTCCAGACTCAAAACTCACCTATTCACATTAGCCTGTTCTACATACATTTTTCATCCTGCTACTTTGAAATATTTTATTTATTTGCTAAATGTTGTATCCTTATTATTTTGTAAATTTTTGTTTGTTGTTGTTATTGCTTGTGTACAGTGTCTTTGAGTGTTTTGAAAGGCGCTTTCTTAAATAAAATGTATTATTATTATTATTATTATTATTATTATTATTATTATTATTATTATTATTATAACAACATTAAAAGAATGCTGTAAAAAATTAAAGACATAAAAGGTATGCTAACACACTCCATAATATGTCTTATGTCCCAAAACATGCAGTGTACTTCTGATGTATGAAGGGGAAAGGTTTGATTGTTTTTCTGCAAAATTACCAGGAAATTAGGCTGTACTTAAATGTACTTACAGTATAATTATTTATTTTTTCCTATAACAAATTGACTTGTTTACTCCCTTATTCTAGTGTATCTATTTCAAATAAAACACACTAAAATTGCCTTTCAATTAAAGTTGGATTACACCCTTGGTTGCAGGCCGTATTATAAAGTGTTAGCTTTATCTGTGAGATCTGTCACAAATGCCCAGGTTTTTGAGTTTCTGTGATGAATTATGATACATTTTAGTTTGAAGGATCATTTGTGTTGTGTTTGCTCCTTTTGTATAATGGGTTGTCTTGTTTATATTTTACCTTTATCTTCCAATTGTCTTTGTGTACCTTGGTTAAGTAGTATTTAGTTTATCTTTTGTAGGGTTTTTTTGTCTTTCTGTGCTTCCTGTGTGAAGTTGCTCTTGTGGGAAGTTACTCCCCTTTCATTTGTGTCCATCTAATTTTCATGATTAGCTTCAACTGTCCTCCCACCTATTTCCTATCTCCTCATTAGCTCGCATGCGTGTGCATACATTGTCTGAGTCTTCCCTTGTTCTTCATTGCATCAACCTGCATGGTTGGGTGTTTCCTTGTTCTGTTTTCCCCCCAGATATTCCTAGTTTTCAGAGTACTTGCTCCTGTTTAACTGCACTTTGTATTTTTGTTCAAGAGTTCAACATTAAAAGTGCTTCCAATCATTTTGGAAAGAGGTCTGTGCCAATATTAGTACAGCCATTGGTCATCAGGTGACAGAAAACTCATTAATGTGTATATTGGGATGTATTCCCGTCTCACTGGTACAACATGAGCATGTAATTCAGTCACTGTTAATGTTGGCCAGGAAAAGCATTATGGTGAGATGGGTGGGGACTGAGCCTCCCTCCATTTCTCTATGGAAGTCGCTCATCATTGAAGTTATGACTCTGATCAGGCTGGGACACTATATTGATGGGAGCTCCCGAATTTTTGTGGACAAATGGAAGAAACCACTGGAAGCACTGGGAGTAACCTGTAAACTGGATCCTAATGGACAACAATTATGGACATAATGTTGTAATATTCTAGTGCTGTGTAGTGTTATTATTTTGGATGTGAACCAGTCTTGTATTTGTTGGGGAAAAAAGTTAAAGAAAAGTTTTTTAAAAAAAAGTGCTTTTTTGAGTTTATGTTCCATCTCCTGAGTCCAGCGTTCTAGTTCACATCATGCCTCTTAGCTGTACCCTGACAATAATTGGTCACCTCACTAAAAAGTAAAAACTTTCAACGTCCTTTAAGACACACACACACACACACACACACACACACACACACACACACACACACACACACACACACACACACACACACACAAACTGTCCATTTAAAGAGAGCCCAGGGTCTGCTGGAGTATTTAAACCTGAGTGATGCAAGAAGGATGTGTGAAGGTTGTAGGCGTGGATGATTTTTCTCCAGGTGAAAGTTAATCTAATTTGCTTGCCAAACCTCAGTGCTGATTCAAACATCCAGCCAAAATGTGAATAATGGCTGCTGATTACACCCATGTGTGGTAACTGAACATCCCAGAGCAAACCCATGGGCATTGCTGTGCTTCTGTCACAGCTTCCACTCCTCTGGCTTTCCATGAAAATTTGGGTGCAAACAGGAGCAGTTTTCAATCAGCCACAAGATCATTAATGAGATCAAAGTTTGATTTTTTTTTTAACAGGAAATGCAGCTTCCACATATTGTATCCTCCACTCTGACTGTAACGCGCTGTTATCTAAATATTATTGCATTCGGTTTTTCTTTCAACTTGGAACCAAAGTACACGCCCTCAAGCCACAGACCAAAGTCAGGCCAAATGTGTGGGCTTGCACATAACAACACACGATGAAATGATAACAGAAATCAAAGAACAACATGCCAGAGATTGTCAACCAGCAAAATGTAGGTTTAAAAACACGTGAGATGAGCACAAATGCTGCGTTCTCTGATGAGAAAGCAGCCAGAGCAAACATGTGTACCGGGTGTGTCTGCCAAAGGGCCAGAAAGACAAGTCAGTTCACTTTTTAACTGAAGTGACTCTGCTGCTGCTGCTGCTGGGGGGTGGGGGCTGAGTGAGCAAGAAGCTAACAGTGCCATCCAGTGGTGGCTCGCATCAAAAACGGCAGGCCTGTGAGCAGGTTTGAAACAAGGTGGCAATCAAGAAGAAACTTAAAGAGCGAGATGGTTCAACAGAGCGGACTCCTTAATGTTGAACAGAGCTCACGCACGGCATGTTCTATACTGAAAAGCTCACAGTGTAGAAACTGGATGTTCTTTTGAAGATGTGGATTCACATGGACAACCTGGACATGCCTCAAAGATGGAAACTGTTTAAAAAATGTCCGAGTTGCATATTTTTCCTCCTGGATAATTATTAATAATAATAAATAATAATAAAATTTTATTTAATCTTTCGAGACAGACTCAGAAAGTGCTGCACATAAGATAACAAATAATAAAAAGGTAAAACAGACAATATAAAACAGGCAAAAATGAACCAAAAACAGTTTTAAAAAGGTGAGTTTTGAGTTGTTTTTTAAAAACAACTTCAGAGTCCACGGTTCTTAATTAATGAGGGAGAGCGTTCCAGAGTCTCAGGGCCACAGCGGCAAAAGCTCTGTCACCCTTAGTTCTCATCTTAGTCTGTTTTATAGCAAGTGAGCCCTGATCAGATGACCTCAGGGACTTGCTAGGGACGTAGGGCTGTAGCAGATCGGAGATGTAGGGTGGTGCCAGTCCATGTAAGCCTCTGAATGTCAAGACCAGGATCTTAAAATGTACTCTAAATTCAACAGGAAGCCACCAGTGATGCAGCAGTGATCAATGTAGTGGCTTCCTTGTAGAAAATAAAAAATGAGACATTACCAAATGAGAGTAATAAGATTAACTTTAGTTAAAAGAAGATGGTTTTTGACCTGCTGTGATTTAAATTCGGAGGTGTGGCTCTGCTCTGGGACCTTCCTCCTTATTCCACAAGCATTAGCAAATCCTTAGTCAGGGAGAGCTCGACAAGGATTCAGACACAATATAGTAAGGAGGAGCTGGGTTGCCAAGTGACTTAAACACTACATCTTTTATGAGACTTGCTCATACAAACTATTTTGGAAGTGCGTGCTATCACTGAGATTAGCACAACCAGTCACACGGAGTGGCAGCTATCTGCCATGACCGGTTGGGCGTGACGGGAGGGAGATAGAACAAAAGACAGAAACGACAGATGTGTTTCTCTTTTATTAAATGTTGTTATTTTTGTTTTTAATTTAAGTAATGGGAAGCAATGTGAGAAAATCCCTAAGACATAAGAAAGCACTTCAACCTATAGATCACAAGCAACGATGCAAGAAAGCCAGCCCCTGAGGGCCAAAAGCCAGTGCACTCGCACTGCCAGCCCGAGCCTGGGTAAGTGAGGAGGATCGCGTCAGGTAAGCCATAAATCTTTGCCAAGTCAAATATGTGAATAAGAAGGTTAATCCTCTGTGACAACACCTAAAGGGAGTAGTCAAAAAAGGAAAAAAGAAAAGAAAAAAAGACAAAGATGAAGACGAATCAATGGTACAAGAGAGTTAGCATAATTTATTAGAGTTATTAAAACCGGTTATGAGCGAAGATGTTGATGTTTTATCCTATTTTTCTAAAGAAAGGTGTTTAGCAAGTTCAGGTAAGAAGAAACACACAGCGGACTGAAAACATTGATTCTTTTTTTGTTATTTGAGCAAAACAGAATATTTCCTTCAACTATTGAAAGCCTGCCACTTAAATTACTATCACACTGAAGCAAGATGCAACAATCAATCAGGGAATACACTAACTCCTGTCATGAACATATGAGAAGTATATGTACAATTTATACATCCGTAAAAACAGAATTAATGACTGACAGATAAATATTTCACAACAAATTGTATGTATAAAAGATTTATAATGAAGACATTTTCCATGATAAATAAGGAAAATCTCACTGCTAGAAACTACGATACTGTCTAAATAGTTAGTGAAGACAGATCTTAAAAACAGCTTTCAATTCTCTAGAAAATAAAACAAATGCAGAAATATCCATCTTGTGACTTAAGCATGAAGAAGTGGAGCCGATGCACAGAAACACACAACAAAATGATTCCAATACAGGATGGTGCGGCTCTTGCTGCCTGTTGGACTGCTAGTATACTCCGGGGCTATTGCGGATCCCACAGCAGAGCACCATGGTGAAGATCATCTCAAAGATCTAAATGTGAAAGATGAAAGCAGTTTAATTCAAAGGGAGTATTCCAGTACCTGCAATGTTATCACAGCTGATGAAAGCAGAGATTTAGACAAATGCATTTTCAATTTAATACCCACCATGATGACAGCAACGACCAAGGCGGCCAGACCGATGACGTAGAGCTTCTCAGAGAAGAGCTCGATCAGTTTATAATGACAGCTCTGACAGGGAGAAAGAGGGAAAATAAGGAATGCTGACCACGCCACAGTAATGAATGAGAATGCCCTTCACTCTGCACACATACTGTTACGGCTCACTAATAACTGAGAGCAGAGCCTGCAGTCAAAACAAGGTGCAGAATATCCGCTTGTTCTGACCAGTTTTCTGAATGGGGAATTAAATGATTTCTGATAGCAATGTTCATATTAACAGTTATAAGAGGATACAAGTCATTGTTAATGGAATCACCAAGTTTGGTCATTTACTAAATATGATGAGGTGTATCCTTGCATGTGTCATGTCAGAATCCCCAAACTCTTTTTAAAATCACAATGAAAAGTAATTGTCAAAGAATAAAAACCTGACATTTTAGCCTTATTTTACTGTGTTTTTCTATTCGTGCATCTGTGTATGCTTTCACTGCACCGGCACTGTGTATGGGATCATTGCCATGCTGAAAAATGAAGCCCTTGCCAATCAGACGTTTTTCATACAATATTAAAGTCTGATTCTACTTTTCTGTGTTCGGAATTTCAGCAATTCAAGATTTCCAACACCACTAACTGAAATGATGCCTCCACTGTGTTTTATCGATTGGTTGTAGACACTCACTGCTGTACCCGGCTTCTAACGCTGATTTTAACCCAAAGTTTCAAATGTTTTCATTCATCACTTCCTTAGACCTGTTGCCACTGATTTCCAGTCCAGTTCGTGTGTATTTTGGCATACCTCAGCCTTTGCTCGCTCTTTCACTTCCTTAGGCAAAACAGGAAGAATTGGCTAAGAATGGCCTCTTGACAGCCATCCTTCCACTCAGACCATCTCTGATGACGATTCAGGGAAAAGTGCATGGGTCAACTGAAGAGCCACATGCATCTAGTTTTTGCTGAATGTTTCTTCCTGTTTCTCAAGGTCGTGGCTCAGATACTGTTTATCTGCTATAGATAAACAGCTTTTTCTAGTCCTGTCACTTCTTTTGTTCTCCAATTGTTCACTCTCCTCAAATCTTTAAGCACACACAGCACACAGTGCTGAAATATGTTTTTAACAAACATTTTTTAAGCCACCATGTTGGTGCAAAAGTTCAACTTTATGCCTGTCAAACTGTGTTTTTTGTAAATTTAACGAAAGAAATGGGAACAACTTTGTGTTTTTATGACAGACTGACAGCAACAGTGGCTAAAGAGGCAATTTGATATTGATTCTTTGCTAAGTTGTCTGTTATGTGTAGCTATAACACTGGTTTGTTCCTTGAGCCTGAGAGGTGTCTTAAGAATATTGCAAACTTGTTATACCTGAAATTTCTTAAAATTAACATTTTATGTCTAACGCGACCGCACTGCAGTCACTGAAAAACCAACAAAATACCTGCAAATCTACAAAACTACAGGAAAAAAAATGTGAATCCTACATAGTAATGAGAGCTAATCAGCTCTGCGACACTTGCTTGGTTTCAGTCCAGCTGTCCCTTAGGGAGATGTCACTGCAAATTAAGACAAATCCTAAAGGGAGTGGTCTCTCCAGAGTGACAGTCCATGATGAGTAAGGAATTACTGAATGATGTGTGCACACATGTGATTCATTTGCTGTGGCCTTCACGGGACTAAATGTATTTTAAATGTACTTGAACATATTACATTTGGGACATGTAGCAACCCAGTTCCTTAGTAATACTTTACAGTGATTTTTTTTTTAATATTACAAAAATATAATGAACAAGCTTACATTAGTATTAATGTTGTTAGTAGTATTATTACTACTAATACTTGTTTGTGTGTTAATTTATTTCGATCATGGAAACAATATACAAAGTTCACTAAGCAAAGAAAAGAAGAAAAAAATGCTTTACAAAATAAAGCTAATACCTTTCAATATTGTTTCACCTGTTTTTAGTTACATATTGAAAAGGAGTGGGAAGACAACAAAAGATTTGTGCATACCTGAGATTTCAACCTAAAATCCTCTGGAGACTTTGTAGGACATAAGGTGGTGGCAAGTTGTAAAAAGAGAGCTGTGTCGTCTCCTTTACCGCAGCAGTCGAGCTGAACATGAAAGAAAACACAGGAACATGAAGTCGACAATATTTCTGTACCCTGTCATTTCAAAAACAAAGCAGCAGGGCCAAAAAAAAAGAAAGTGATGATTTTTTCCCCCCATCATTTCGTACCGTTTTGTGGAAGACCTCCAAAACCTTGATGGCGCTGTCTTTACTGGCAGACCCAGACACATCCATAGCCTTGATGTACGCAGAGTCGTAGAAATTGATCAGTTCTTTGGAGATCTGTGAATAATCAGGAGTGGGGATGGGGTGTTTAAAAGACACAGCAACAAACAGAGACGATTCACTAGAGGTGCAGAGAAGGAACATCAACGCAGACATCAAACATGCTGTGAACCGTGACTGTGACTGTGTGTGTGTGTGTGTGTGTGTGTGTGCTTACAGTGTCCCTGTTCATGAAACCCCAGATTGCTGCAGCTACTTCACAGGCAAATAGGATCACCAAAAAGAAGAAGAACTACAAATCAAAGATATTTATTTTAACTTCAGTGACTCCAAAGATTAAAATACTTTATTTGGGGAAAAACGGTATACTCACTGTGCCCAGAAGGCACTGAGATTCCTGAATGGCACCATAACATCCAAGGAAGCCCACAAGCATCATAACAGCTCCCACAGCTATCAGTATGTACACACCTGTAAACGCACAGTGAGCAGGAAACTGACCATCAACGGCTTAAAGACATTTGGTTTACCATAGCGACAGCGCATCATCGGCACCACTAGAGGGCAGCAGTGTTAGACCTGCAAGTTCCCACTGCTCTCTAGTCCACTGCTCATTGTTTGGGTTTTGACTTCCTGATGACAATGTAGAATGAAACTGTTGACATCCTGAAGGTAAGATTCCAGATCCTGACTAAGAGAGGCAGAGATGACTGTGTGCTTCCCTTAGGGGAGGAAATTCCCTTGAGACACCCTCAACCCCCCTCTGTACTGACCTCTGACCTGGACCATTATACTTCCCCAGGAAACAGAAGGACAGACACTCACTGACACCCGCCCACAAATGTACACACATTTTTTAAATTGCAATTTAAACTGGCATTTTGTGTAAAAATATATATTTTAAATGTAAATGGCAGATAGCCATAATGGAGGCACTCCACACTAGCAAAAAGTCAATGGATGGTAATAAAGCTCCAGTTACAGCAGAGGCCCGGATTGTGTTTTCTGCAGCTTAAAGGAAAAAACACTGTGTGGATGCTAAAAATCTGTTTTGCATTATCGGTGTAGGATTATATAAAAAGTAAAATTACTTGAAATGCAATACAGTCTCCTTCAGAATTACTGTGCCCTCTAATCTCTTCTCGTGTATACATGAGTTGCTTTACTTATTGGTGATAATATGAAACCAGTAATTTGACGTTTGACGTCGGTTGCCTCACATGAAGCCAAGTGTAATTGCTTTATTTACTGTTAGAGTCTCTAAAGGAAATTGACTGTGTTTTATAGATTCAGCATTTGCGTTGTAGGAAAAAATTTCATGTGCAGCATCAGTCATGTGGAATTGTCTCCTAGCAGGCATTGCATTCAACTACACCCAGCATGAAAGCTGTGCTGTAAGCACTGTACGTACTCGCTTTCTACCACTTTTGTGAAGATCTCCTATTAAATGGCAGCATATTTGTGTTACACCAGGAAATTTGCCCACGCAAAAGAAACACACATACAAAAAAATAATAACTGCTATCAGTTTTCTCCAGAGGCATCACGAGAAGGGTGCGGGTGGACACCGCTCAAACACACAAAAAAAAATCTTAATGAAAACAAATTATCAGCATGAATAAAAAGCTAGAAGATATAACATTCCTGACAAACTGCAATTTGTTTGATAATAATCTCATGATATCCATCCAACGAGCTCTAACTTTAAGAATCCTTTTAGGAACTGATGGTTTTATCAGTTCCACGCTCCCAGCTCAAATCTAGAGGTGACAGGGCTTTCTCCATTGCCGCCCCGAGACTCTGGAATAGTCTCCCCCCCTTCATAAAATTATCTTCATCCTTGGAAGTCTTTAAATCGAATCTCAAGACCTACTTATTTTCCAAGGCTTTCGGATCTCTTTGATATTACATGTCTTACAATTCTTTTTTTTTTTTAAATGTTTTCTTTCTGTTTTAATTCTTTTATTATATTATCCCTCTGTTCAGCACTTTGGCCGACACTTGATGTCTTTTAAATGTGCTATATAAATAAAGATGACTTGACTGACTTGACTTTTAGAGATTTTCTGCTATTTTATAGTTTTCTTATTTCTTCTGTAGCTCGGGATTAGATTTCAGAACATGATATTGGATAATACAATATGATAGGCACAATAAGCAAGAAATTCTCATGATACTAAACCATTCATTCATTTTCTTTCACTTATTTTATTCAGGGAGCCTATCCCAGCTCTCACAGGGTGAGCGGTGGGGTTAGACCCTGGGCAGGTTGCCAGTATGTTGCAGTGTTAACACAGAGACAGGCATGTGTTTGGACTGTGGGAAGGCACATGCAGAAAAGTTCCAGCCTGGATTCACTCCCATGACTTTCTTGCTGTAAGCCGGCAGAACTAACCACCGCACCACCTAATATTAGACCAGTGCTTCCCAAAGTTTTGGACTTGCACACCTCACTAATCTCACCTTTTAAATCCCCAAGAGTACAGAAGATGGTAAATGGTAAATGGCCTGTATTTGTATAGCGCTTTACTAGTCCCTAAGGACCCCAAAGCGCTTTACACATTCAGTCATCCACCCATCCACCCATTCACACACACATTCTTCGTATTAGAAGATCTCATATTACGAGGTGATGTCCAAAGACTGGACTCCTGAACCATGTTAGAGGGGAGTGAAAAGATATCTTCAACTATGTAATTCACAAAGCACAAAAGACTCCATATAAAGGGAAAAAATTCAAACTAGGAATATGAAAATCAGTCACAACCCTTTCTATCCTACATTTACAAACTTCAGAGCGCAGCTGCTAAAGTTAGAGCTGCTGGACTAAACTAGCAGCGTGCAGTGTACCGCTACTTTTACATAAGATGTGAAAGGGGGTCTTCTAGCTGTGCTTTTAGTGGGAAATGGTTCGGGAACAGTCTGTTTCTGGCTTTTCTATTCTTGTGTGCATAAAAAAACAAAGCAAACCGATCCTCTAATGTGGCCTGACAGAGCAGTCTAAAAAAGGGACAGACAGTAAGTGACTCTGACTCTGTTGCATCTGCAGGTCTCCAACACCTCACACTGTACCTCATTTATCACGCAGAACTATCTCCCATCCTTAGATCTGCGCTCTCTCTGTGTCGACTCGCTACCCCTCCTTTTTCGTTCTCTTTTGTCGCGCTGTGAAACAGCTACCAGGGCCAGTAACCGCGGTAATGCGGCAAAGCAGGCATTATTTCCACTGCCTTCCATTACTATGACAACACCTTTTGAAGCTTGAAGGCTATTGAGACTTTAAGGGAGACAAGCAATTTTAAACCCCCAGGGTAGTTCATTTATTTCTTGTCTCGGAGTGTAATCTCCCCAAGTGGTGGTGGTGGGGTGAGCGCCAGCTAAAAGCCCCACTTGCTCGTCTCATCCAGTATTTAAAAAGGGAAAAGTCAGGAGCAAGACAACGGAGACGAAGCCTGTTATACAGCATGTCAGTGGAGAAATTATGTGAGGAGGGTTAGTTGTTTAAAAATATATATATTTGGCTTTTCTCTTGTTATGTCTAAGACTTTAAAACAAAAAGTGCAGACAAAAGAGAAACACAAGGACTTTTTCCATTTTTCTGACCGAAGCGGCTTGTTTGAATCAGAGGTTGAACCGAAAGCCTGCATCAGGACCTAAGTGTAAGATAAATAAGGATTATTTTGAACATTGAAATCACGCAAAGCTACTCTAAAAAGTCCAAGAAAAGGGGGAGTTGCACGTGTGATTGTACTGTCAAATATGTTGATTTATTATGAAGCCAAACGTGGGGGCATGTATAAAGACAACTGGCACTTTTAGAGTTCACAACATTGTGTAAACCTTCTGGGTTTAGTCAACTCTTGGCTAGCCTTATAAGCTTTTATCCCTTGTTTTCCAGTCCTGGTTGTAATCTCATGTTTACATACAGACATGAGAGGGGGAATTAATTCTTATCTGCCTCTAAGAGCCTCATTAAGCATGTTTTGTAGAAATGTACAGTACGAGGAGTTGTAACACTACCCAGACCAGACTACTGTCAGCTGCCACAAGTAATGGGTTCAAACTCTGGTGAAGAGGCAGGATGGTGTGTATTTTCAGTCTTACATAAATACCACTTTGGTGTGCCAGCATGCTAAAAACATCCATTCCAAACTCTAATTTGAGGGATAATGTGCAGATGTACAAGGTTTTTTTGAATTATGTAAGGGCGTATGTCTAAGGGACAGGGGAGGAAAAAAGAAGAAGCAGTCTCTTGATCTTGCCTGGGTGGGCCCCACTTGCCGCCCTGCCTTTAAAATCACGAGTGTGTCTCGCCTCTATAAAAAGCACGGCCCGCCTTTGCTCCGTATACTTACTGAGGAGTAAGTATGGGAGCGCAGCAGGGGCCCAAATGTAAATTAATGGGCTCACTAGAGTTCACCACCACAACAAACCAAGATCACGGACCGCTGAAATATATAAATTGTATCATGTATTGTAGGTTTCATGGCCAACCTTAGGACTTCTGAGGGCAGTGAAGGAGACGTGCTTGCAACCCATAACCTTAGTTCATGTCGTGGGCATGACACAACACATAGGTTAAAAAAATGCAAAACATGTGCAGTTACAGAGATGGAGCTGCGGTTCAGTAGTGCAGAACTCATGAATTTTCCTGAGGATCAAATACTGTAAAGTGTGAACAACAGAAGGCTCATGATCGCTTCAGCTGCGCTCTTAGACCACTTTCTCAAAGCCAGCATGTGTTTAAACATCTGTCTGAAGCATCTGGCCTCTCTCTTGAAAGAACATCAAGGCTGGGACTTTTTCCATAAACTGAATCAGAGATGTTCTCCTGCATGTGCCTTACAGCATGTAGACTGAGGTGTAGCTCCTGGCCCTGCCGCTTTTAATTCATGCTGCGGATGTACGCAAGTCCTGTTTCCTGGTCTTCTTAGAGGTCGTGTCACGCCTACTATTTCCAAAATATCTGGATGTCACTCACAGCTCACCATGAAGCACGTGAGTTAAATTTGATCACTTTGTTAAATGTAAACTTTCCATCATGATAAGGATGAAAAACGAGGGCAGAGCAGTTTCCTTAGGGACTCCTCACCTTACAGGAGCTGGATAAAAGAACAACAAATATGAAGTAAAGTATCCTTAAAATAGAAACCTGACTCTGAATGAGAGGGTGGTATGAGCTATAATGTAAGAATCCGTAGATGCCAAAATGAGGCCACTTCACTCGGTGATTATTTAGCTTTGAAGCATAAAATATTAACAGCTTTCCCAACATTAAATCTGGGCACAATCTCCCTGTGGTGTTAAAGCCACCTCAAAACTGGTCCAAGAATAATCTACTTGGACCAGTTAAACGTTAACGTTTCGAAGACCAACTCAAAACTATGATTTCCATGAGCTCTGTGTGTGTTAGGGAGGGGTGTATTTCAGTACAGTTGGTGGCTCTCAAATGTTTCCCACCCAAAAAAATTAATCCCCAACCCCTGCCCTATTTTTTTAATACTCCTTAACAATAAAGTTCACATTTTTTTTAATTACTTCCCCTTTAAAAACATAATTACACATATTTTTCTTTTTTTCCACATTTTCTCCTGGTTGTCCACACCTCTCCTCTAGCAGCTCTCCTTGCCCCACTACACACAGTCCTAAGGACCAGTTCACTATTATTCAAATTATTGGTGTATACTCACTGATATAGAAGGTGCCCGGTGCCTGCTGATTATCAAACTGAAGAATGAGGAGGTTGCTGGTCTGACTGTCGTGGCGTAGCCACAGAGCCACTCCTAAGATCACACCTCCGGCCAGCTGTCCCAGAAAGAAACAAAAAAAGGTTTTTAATTGTTTTGTTTCATATTTTTTTGGTCACTTTGATGAATCCTTTATGAGGATCAGACCCACCTAAGTGTCTGAAATGAAAGTGAAAAGGAAGCATGAATATTAAAATCATCCTGTAGTTTTTAAATTTTAAAGACTTTTTAGAAAAGACCCATCAGCATGTTTTACATGTGACAGCACCGTGACATCTAAGACAACATGAAGCCTGACTTTCGTGAGATCAAATCCACACCAAAGCCTTTCTGCTAATATCTGTGTGTGTGTGTGTGTGATCTGTCCCCCTGTCATTTAAGAAAAGAAAGGACATCCTGACACCTCAGTGACCCACGACACAGACATGTCCACGCAGCATTGTTTAAAATCGCCTCAACTTCAACTCCCTGATCGCTCTTCTAAATTCTGTATCTGATGAAGCAAAAATATATTGACAAGTGTCATCACAGAACAGCTAAAGTGCATGTAGCTCCTGTTATTGTTCACATGCCCGTGTTTATATCTGCACTTTTCTTTTCGTTTCTTTTTTGTTTTTTTGGCCATGGCTGAAATCCATTGTTCTCAGCAAACAGGAAACGGAATCCTCAGCGTGAAAAATAGCAAAATGAGGAAGAAGGGGCTTAGCGCTTTTACAATGACAGGCACAGCAGTGAGGCCAGCAGAGGAAACACTCAATCAAGCGCAGCATGTCCAGGATATGCGCATTCTGTTCGCCCTAAAAACAAAAACAGACTCTAAACAGGCAAACCAAATGGAAATCTAAAAACATCCCACGCAAATGGTCGATTCTGCACTTAAAATGGATGATATATCTATAGTTTGCAGTGATGTACTGATGTACCCACATTAGGCTGTTTAACTACTGTAGCTTGTCCCATATTACTGAAGCAAGGAAAAAAGGGACTGCCTTGAGAAGAGCTCGGTTTACAGGGTGAATGTACTAAAATGATCATTTAGATGTGAAATTTCACACAGTGCAGTCTGAGCACTATGTTTAAGAATTAAGGAATTTGGGAATTACTCTATGAAAAGGAAACAGTCAGAGGGAAACACCTATTCCCGTCACCTAAAAGTTTTTCAGTCTTTTTTAAAACTGAATTTTTTTTTTTTGTCTGGAGTTCACAGTTAAGGTGAGCACTAGTTAAATCAACGGTGGACCTTAAGTACAGATGATGAGTGACAGGCAGAGGCAAAAAAAAGAAAGAAAAAAAAGAGTACAATCCCGGTAAAAAAAAAAAAAAAAAAAGACTGGGAGAGGGGTTAGAGACACCAGCCAGCCTGGAGGGCTTTTACCTCCCGGCTCTATCACTCACTTTCCCCCGTTTGCTCAGTCAGGCTGAAAAGAAGTTGATGAAGGTTGGGAGAGCATTTTTAGCTCCTGCCAAGAGTTTGTGCGCTGTGCCTGTGTGGATGGATGGATGCTGCCCGTCTCCCTAAGAGGGAGCAGCTTAATTTGTAGAGCAGTTCAGGGGGGAAACTCCTCTGTGCTTGTCTTTTTGAAATTATTTTAAGCTATGGTCTTCACAGATGTGTAAAAATGCAGCTGTTAAATCAGTTAAACGGAAAACGAGAGAAACAAAAGAAGAAGAAGAAGCAGAGGAAGTCTACGTTACTCAAATAAATTTAGAACTAACGTCGGAGAACAAAAAAAATGGTCGACTCACCCAGAAAATAAAATTAAAGAAGAATAACATATATTTAATGCATTTCGTACAGCCCGTAACAGCCATGTTTCCAGGTCTTGTCAGCTCGTCCTTACGCCCAAATCAAACAAGTTGTGAGAGTGAGAGGAGTCTACTTCCCAGGATCACACAGTCGCTGCCGGGGGGAGGGGGGCTCAGTTTGTTCGGCCAGCTGGGCTGGAAGGACTCATACAGCAAACTCCTCCTTTATAATCAAGAGTGAAAACCGAGACGGGAGGACTGCCCACCAAGTGAAGTGGACAGGAGGTGGCCGAGTGAATAACAAGTTGCCCATCTACCCGAGCGAACAAGTAAAAAACCCAATGATTTCATAAAATGTGAACACACTAGGGAGTATTGCAGATTTAAGAAAGAACGAACGAACGAAAGAAAGAACAGTTTTCAAAGCATCTTTACATTTTTAAAATTCGCACATCTTAAATCACATATTCAAAACAGCTTAAAAAAACACTATAAAGCTATAAAATTGGCATTTTTAGAAATATCTCAGTTTGTTTTGTTTCTTACTTTTTAAGTTAGATTATGGAGCAATTCTGCCAACTTTAATTATTATGTTTTTTAATGTTTGAAATGATTCGGACCATAAAATGTCCTTGCTTTGAGCAGTCGCGCCCTCTGCTGGCGAATTAAACACGATCCTCATCGACTAATCATTTAGGCGCGCTGTGCAGCACGCAGACTTGCGCAAATCTTGAATCTTCTCCGCTCTTTGTGTTCATATCTGAGCTCTCAGCTCTTGTCTGAACTTGTCTGCAAACCACGAAGCTTTACCGTCTTCTAATAGTGTTTTCATGCTACGAGCAGATGTGCGCTTTCATGGCTTCAGGGTCACACCTTCTCCAGCCAGCTGTGCGTGAAGATGAGGAAGACCTTCCCTGGCAGCATCCGGACTGTTAGAGGCGCTAACCCAGCATTTACCCTCCGGGCGACGACGTTCAGCGAGCAGGAGGAGGAGGAGGACAAGTAAAACTGAGCAACGATGATTATTTGAGCATCCTTACAGTAATTGGGGGATTTGACAGCGTGTTTTTAATAAACGCAGGGCTTTCCACTGGGCATGCTCCATCTGTGCTGAGAGAAGAGCTGTGCTCGGTGAGAATAACTGGCAGTTTGGGCGTTTTTTTCTTCTTTTTTCTTCTTCTTGGGGGAGGTTTGTCGCCCTCTCATCTTTGATTTTCTTTATCAGCAGTGCAGGGAACGGGGTGGTCCTCCCATCAAAAAGAGCGAGGGATGTGTTCTTCTCAGCGATGCATGAACGGCAGTGAAGTCTGTGAGCGAGGAAGCATCTCAGCGCTGAGACAAAGACCTGCTGCTTAGTGGCGGCGTGTCGTTAAATTCAGGAAGGGAGCGGGCGTGTGAAGGAGGTGAGTCTGTAGGCAGCAACAGAAGGACTGAGCAGCTCCATCAGGAGCTTTCCACCCAGCACCACTACCATCATCATCACCGCAGTCACCTTGCTGTGAAAGTCATAAACCTTCCTCAGGGCTGATCTCATCAACTGTCGCATCCTAGTGAGTTTAAAGAGCTGGATTTATTCTGTCGGCGTTTTCCCTCTCTTTATATATCTCTCTCGACATCTTGGATTTATCGATGATGTGACGTCCATTCTTAATGTGATGCCATTGGCTACATTGGGTTTTGGATTCGGTTTCTCTACCTTCCAGCGAGCTTGGCAGCCCTGAGCGTTTCTGATCCTCCAGCTGAATGAATGAATGAATGGATGCGTGCAGAAAATTCAGAGTTTAGAGGGGGATGCGTGTCAGACTGCCCCGATTTCTTTCACAGCTGCTAAGAAAAGGACTGGTTGCTTTGTGAGCTGCTTTCCTTATGTAATTGTTTCCGTCACTCTGATCACTCCTGTGCATGGTCTGCACTGTGCGCCTAGACTTACCTTTGCGATGAAGGGAACTTATTGGAGAAATGCCTAAGGGACGCGATGGGCCTGAGCGACGACAAGGATCGCATTGTGATAAACGTGGGAGGGATCAGACATCAGACATACCGCAGCACCCTGCGCACTCTACCTGGCACTCGCTTGTCCTGGCTGGCCGAGCCTGATGCGCCCAACCACTTTGACTATGATGCCAAGATCGAGGAATTTTTCTTCGACCGCCACCCTGGCGTTTTTGCACATATCCTTAATTACTACAGGACAGGTAAACTGCACTGCCCGGCCGATGTCTGCGGGCCGCTCTATGAGGAGGAACTGGCCTTCTGGGGGATTGATGAAACAGACGTGGAGCCATGCTGCTGGATGACCTATCGCCAGCACCGGGAGGCAGAAGAGGCCCTTGATAGTTTCAGCGGGGGGGGACTGTTAGACCTGGGGAATGATGATCAGGAGCCAGACCAGGAGCATGCTGAGGATGATGTGGATGAAATGACGAGAAGGCTGGCTCAGGGAGACTCTCCTGATACCAGGAATGGAAGCCTGTGGAGTCGGTGGCAGAAACGGGTTTGGGCTCTGTTTGAGGACCCTTACTCCTCTAAATATGCAAGGGTGAGTCACTTTTAAAAATGTCCTTCTGTCATTGTTTTTCTTAAATTAAATTAAAGTATATATTATGTATGTTATGCAAAAATGCTAAAAATGTTCTGGTGTTGTTGTCATGATGCATTAAAAGTAATACACGTGTTAATGGGTCCTCTTCTGCTCCTTGATGGTGAAACAAAGGCGTTTGGTGGTGGGCTTTTGTAGAAAGGGCTTTTGATGACCTTGAAATTGCTCTTCTGAGGGTCCCCACAGCAGGTCGATGAGAGTGCACGAGGGAGAAAGAGGAGGAGAGAGGGGAAATGAACCAACTTCATGTAGAAGAACCATTTGCATGAAAATCATCACTTCTGTCCTCCTCTTATCTTGCTGGAGAAGATGAAGAAACTCATTTTGAATCTCACAGGTCTTTAGATAGATATTTCCACAACACGGGGATCCCAGGGCAGGCTGGCTTTTTTGGTTAAATAGGTCAGCTGCACATTAGGAAACCAGATCTTTGGCATCACCACATTTTTCTGTGGCAGACCTCCAGACAAAATTAGGTTGCTGTTAGGGGTGACATTTTTAGTCTTTGTCATGGGCACTTTTCCATCAGGGTGTAATACTTGGAATTGGTGACAAGGACAACTTTACACTTTTTTTTTTAATATATTTGTAATTTTTTTTGGACCATGAGCCCCTAAAACGACTGCTGTGCTGCACGCTGCTTTAACAGCTGCTGTTGTAGCTGTAGTAATTAGTTATCAGGCACCAATCCAGACAGAGTAAACTGCATTGACTTGTTCTCACTCTTCCAGAAAGCATTATGGAATCAGTGCCACCCCCCCACCCGTCACATACACACTTCCAAATTTAATTTTCTTCACGCAGGAAAGATTCCCCCAGCAGAAGCTCAGCTGTGTCCTACATTTAACAACAAGCATGACAAAAGCAGAGCAGGGATTGACTCCACAAAGACAGGCAGAAAGATTAATTAGAAGTGAGCCTCAGAGTTAATTACTGACTCTATTCACAGTAGATACATCAGTGGAAAAACCCTTGCCACTGCACAGCACAGTCGACCCATGGTTTTCTGGCGACAGTGAGAATTAGCCAATAAGGAGCAAACAATCATCACTTGTTGCCCTTCCTCCAGGCCACACTGTTCCTAACTGTCACACAGACACATAATTTAGGAGGCGGTCTGATGAGACACAGCGTTTGTTTAACAGTTCGAAGGGTGGGATGTTCAGAGGGCTGAGCGAGCCTGCTTGTTAGGAGGCATCAGGGGCAAAGCAGCTCAAATTATGAGGCTTTAGCGCACTGGAGTTTGTATGGTAGTGGCAGCAGTGGTGACTTGCCTCAAATAAGGATTGTTTTCATAATTGTTTTTAATTTTCTGTGTCAAAGTAGAGAAAAAAAAAACATGGTTAGCGCAACTCCCAAAAATTCAAATCACAATGAGATTTAGATTACAGTCGCCTAAAACACAGCAAGCCAGCAGGTGTCGATTATGACTCCAACGTGTGCAGTTGGTTGAAGTCATTGTTTTGCAGCGTGGTGGTACTGTGCTCTATTACTGTCTAAGGAGTACTTGTTTCTTTTTTCGTGCGGCACATAGTGGAGAGGGGGTGGACAAAAACAACAACATTATGCAATTTGATAAAAACACCACCACTTATTAACGCCTTGAAACTTGGCAAAAAACTCCTCTTACATCATATCTGCAAAAGCTGAACGTTATTATCTCGACCACTGCGTGTTTATTAAAGTCGCCTCACTATTCGATTGCCTGCGAACGCTAAGTGCTCCACGTTCCTTTTGAATGCGTAAATGCTAAACATTTTACGCCAAATTTGTGTTACATAACAGCATGTAGATCCACATTGTGAACTGGGATGTTGTCTCTCTGAACAAAGAGGACAGCTCTGCTGACAGGAGTTGGTGCTTCTGCAGTCAACACAGCTTCCCTCTGGACCATCATGCTAAGATGGAAGGAAGGCAGGCATTCATAAGGAGCAGTGATTTCCTCAGCACGGGGCAATGAATTGCCACTGATGAGACATGATGATGAAGGCCTGTTTTCCATCTTCTTCTTATTATTATATTGTGCTGCATCGCCTGTCTTAGTGGCCCACTTTGAATGAGACCGACTGACAAGTACAGATCATTCCCCTCTCTCAGAGGACTTCATGCCCAGACCTGCCCTTTTCCAACTTAGTCATTCATTATTCCTCCCTGCTACTTAACAAGACTGCGCATTAGTTTCAAAGATACAGCAGGGCCTCATTTAAGGAAGGTTTTATGCATGAGTCGATTGCTATTGATCCAACATTTGCAATTCATAGGATCATTAAGCAGATATATGCTCTTCCTGTGCACTTGTCTGTCCATCTTTTTTCCTCTGATTGAACTTAGATTACTGTTTACTGTTGTTGTTTTTTTTTCCCCCTACAGTAAAGAGCATGAACAATAACACATGCTGTAAACCAGTAGTGCATGAGGACAGGGCTGGGATTGATACCCAGGGGACAGCACTGTATCTGTTACACCCATGTAGTATGGAAGAATAACAGAACCTAAATGTGAAGAAATTTGATCAGCTAATCAATACTAGAGGGTGAAGTACTTTTTTTCCCCATTAAGGGAAATTATGGCTTCACATAAAAGTCTGTCCTCAGCTCAGTGAGCCTCTCAGCTCACCGTCATTCCCAAGAGCTTGATGATGTGGACAGTATGACCTTGTGTAAGGGAAGACCTGCTGTGGTGATGGAGCTGAAGGGAAGAGCCCCAGCTAAATTTAGTCCAGGGGGTTGTGACACTAGTGTCCTGTCTGCTGCTACTGCTGCTACAGGCGCTTAATAATTATATATGTAGCATACCCTTGAAAATGCCACGACCTTGATATACAGCAGATGGATGAGAAGGAAGAACAGCAAGCTTGCATTAATTGTCCCTGTTGCAGCAGTGCTTCAGATTCAAGACACACATCAGAGAGGAGTGCAGCTGGGGTGTCATTGCCACTGTCAAACTAGATGCCACTGTCTGAGATAGAAGATTAAATTGCATTGTGTCTTACTAAGAATGGCTGCTAGGCCGTCAAGCTTGATTACACTGCATGTATTAGTGTGCTCATTCTCCTTTCTGTCCTTCTCCTCTTCCTTCTTTCCTTTCTTTTTCTGCCCCCTAAATATTTCCTGCTCAGTGGGTGGCTCTGGCTTCGCTGTTCTTTATTCTGGTGTCCATCACCACCTTCTGTTTGGAGACCCACGAAGCCTTCAATCCCATCATCAACCGCACGGAATGGGACGTGGTGGACAATGAGACAGTGATGAACACCTACCAGGAGACTGAGACCGCCATCTATCTCACCTACATCGAAGGTGTCTGTGTGGTGTGGTTCACGTTTGAATTTCTAATGCGAATAACTTTCTGCCCAAACAAATTTGACTTCATTCGAAATGCGCTGAACATCATCGACTTTGTGGCCATCCTTCCCTTCTACCTGGAGGTGGGCCTAAGAGGCCTCTCCTCCAAAGCAGCTAAGGATGTGCTGGGTTTCCTGAGAGTGGTCCGCTTTGTGCGGATCCTGCGTATCTTCAAGCTGACCCGTCACTTTGTTGGGCTGAGGGTGCTGGGCCACACGCTAAGAGCCAGCACCAATGAGTTCCTGCTCCTCATCATCTTCCTTGCTCTCGGTGTCCTCATCTTCGCCACTATGATCTACTACGCTGAACGGATTGGAGCTAATCCCAACGACCCAAGAGCCAGCGAGCACACGCACTTCAAGAACATCCCGATTGGATTCTGGTGGGCTGTAGTGACCATGACGACCCTCGGCTATGGAGACATGTACCCTCAGACGACCTCCGGTATGCTGGTTGGAGCTCTGTGCGCCTTGGCAGGTGTGCTGACCATCGCCATGCCCGTCCCCGTGATTGTCAACAACTTTGGAATGTATTACTCGCTGGCGATGGCAAAACAGAAACTACCAAAGAAAAAAACCAGGCATATCCCTCGGGCACCCCAACCAGGCTCTCCTAACTTCTGCAAAACAAGCATCAGCTCCCAGCATCAGAGCCCCATTGCCAATGACGATGTTTTCG